CTGACTGAGGGTTAATCCACACTGAATATTGCACACCCATTTTTGATTAAAACTGTGAAATGAAAGCAGAGGGGAAAAATGACTTACACGCTTGGTTTGAGGCCTTAAAAATAAATAAGAATCCTCTTTGGTTGCTGGTATTTCCTTTGTTATTGTAATAGCTCATATTTATTGAACTGATGAGATTTAAATTACTATGAGAGAAACCCATTAGTTCATATGACTGGTTTAGACAGCAGCAAGTAGAAACTGAAATATTAAGTGCCGTTCATCTGTATTAAGTGTAATCGTTCATGTTTAACAGTAGAGTTTAGATATTCATCTTGGTTAACAAAAGTCTTCAATTCTGTTATTTCTACCTAAATTCCAATTACACAAAAATAAGAATTTAGCTGATTCTGCAGAATTTAACTTTTTCCTTTAAAAAAAAAAGGTGAATTTTCCATTTACCTTTGGAGTTCAGCTTCAAGAAAGTGGATTTAAATGTCTCTTAAAAAGTGGCTGTGTTACTTTTGCCAGATGACTGGACAGTTTATTTCCAGAAATTGTTTATATACAGGATTTTTAAGAGAAAATAAATCTTGAGTTTACAGAGACTCGCTCGATAAAGAGAAAATACCCTTTGAATTCTGGTAATGAAAACAGATAGGAGAAATGTCTGTAGGTCCCATGAGTTTTGAATTTTGATGCAACCGTCAGATAGTGCAGTGACAATGAAACATTTTTTAAATGCTTGACCACCAGTGGTGTCAAGTAACGAAGTACAAATACTTTGTTACTCTGCTTAAGTACACTTTTTAGGTATCTATACTTTACCTAATTACTTATTTTTCTTCTTACTTATGACTTCTACTCATTAAATTTTCACACAAGTATCTGTACTTTCTATTCCTTACATAAAAAATAAAAAAAACGTTACTCGTAACTCTTGGTTTCGGTTTAATGTTGATAAATATTTATTTCACGCCATACAATGCAGATCACTGGCACCATCTATATCTAGTGAAAACTTGTGTAATTGCTAATGTCTATATAGTGGAGTCATATATACTCATTGGTTAGCTATTTGTCAAATTTGTGCTGATGCCAAAGGAAATCATCAAAAGCAGGTGTTCTTCAAACTGTAAATGCAAATAGTCTCTGCCATGCTACAATGTCGGATTCAGATTTGTTGTTGATTTTTCTGAATGGTCGGATACAGGCGAGAGCATATCAGGAGATGGAGACGGAGACCAACAAGACCTCCTTCATCCTTGGCCCTATCTCAAAGAATTTTTCGAAATAGTCAAAACATTTAGCTTTCAATTCTTATAGTGGCATCTGGCTGTTTTTTTTTAAAGGTTACTTTATGCTTTTATACTTTAAGTAATTTTTGGAGCACATACTTTTTCGCTTTTATTTGAGTAAAGAGGTCAAGTTGACACTTCAACTTTTACCAGAGTGTTTTTAAACTGCAGTAGCTATACTTCTACTTAAGTAATAAATATGTGTACTTTTGACACCACTGTTGACCGCTGATAAGCACGTGGCTCATCTATGGAGGGTTTGGTCTAAGGGTTTGAGTTCTGACCTGGTGACTATCAAACATAAAGGCAACTAGTTCCTTAAAATCACCTTTAAATGCCAGAGTTTAACGCAGACTTATTGATGACTATTTATGATCAAAGTATGCCTGACTGCTAATGGTGGCATTTAGCAGGATACTACATCACAAAGCTCAAATCATCAAGGTTCTTCAACATGTTAATACTGTGCTCAACTGGCCTAAATAATTACAGTCAATATGGACTTAGACACTTGTTGAAGAAATAAAGCAGGCCTGAAGGTCTTACCCAGTACTCCCAAATACATGTAAAGTCATCAAACCCTTGTTGGGACAACGTTATATAGGAATTAAAGATATTTGGAGTGATATTTCATATTTAAACAGAACCTCTGGGAATTCTCTAGTCAGATGTAATTAGAGAGCCTTTCTTTAGAGCAAATGGTCCTCTTTAGAGCACAAGCTGTCTTATTATAACATTCTCATAACCTAAGGAAGCAGGATGACTTTGTCATGCAGGACTTCTTTACTCCCTCACACCATACTATGAATGCGCGCCTTGTCACCTCGAGCTTCAGCATTTCCTGCTGATCTGCTCCCCTGTCACTCCAGTGATCTTCACATCTCAAAAAGCTGCTCCTCGTTGCAAAGAGCTTGTGACGGCCCTTAAAGGAATAGTACACCCAAAACATGATTAGCCTTCATTTTCTACTCACCCCCATGCTGAACAAAACTCTGGAGTACTTTTTTGATATCTCAAATGCATCTGGAGATCTGGGAGGCTTCTTGCTGTCTGCTGACATTCAAATAATGGAGGTCTATGGCGCCCGAGACAGAAAGGTCCATAAAAGTCCACAAAAACGTGTCAATATTACTCCATACTGCTCGTCCAATGTAATCCAAGTGTCCTGAGTGGGTAGCATCCAGAATTTACTCGAAACGAAGTCATTTAGAACGTTTTAGAGCCTAAACAGTAGTGTATAGGATTTCCTAATAGCGCCCCCATGCGCGCTCACGATTCTACGGAAGCCGGCAGACCAAACCGGAAGAAAGTGCGCATTCAACGTCTGCTCTGCCGATAATGCAAGCGTAGAAGAAGAAATGTGCTGTTTACCTGTGCAAAGAAAGAAACAACGAAAGAAAAATGTCTGAGGACTTCAGTGTTGAGGAAGAGCATGAGTTCTTTGCCGAGCTGAATGCGCTGGTTTGGTCTGCCGGCTTCCGTAGAATCGTGAGCGCGCATGGGGGCGCTATTAGGAAATCCTATACACTACTGTTTAGGCTCTAAAACATTCTAAATGACTTCGTTCTCTCTAAATGACTTCTCTGTTCTCATTTTATCTTGGCTGTCCCCACTGGTTGCAGCTTGTGTTGAGGGGTGCAGTGGTAGAATGCCTAACAATAGATTATAAAGAAAATAACTTTGCAGAGAGTTGAATAAAAAGTCATTCAAAGAAAAATCCTTAATATTCATTCTACCTTAGGGAACAGACTGACCAGATATTAAAGATTAATGCATTTTAGATTAGCTGCATCTGTTAAAGAAGTCCAGGCCAAAGGATTGTGTGACTCACATACAGATTAGAACTTGACTTTATAAAGTTGAATCTGAACCTGCTGAGATGTGTGAGGTGGATTGAGGACAACTGAACTGAGACCACTTTGGATTCTTGATCATATCATGACAAGGAGCTGTAATATATAAAATAACAGCAAGTGCATCTGAAGAGTAGCAAAGGTAAAAATGTAAAGCCTTATATTCATAGGGAGATTATGCAAAAAGTTCCTGTTTTCATAACCATTTCTTTATTTTTTAATTATAACTCTTGTTTTCGTAAATCTACCTGTATAAATAAATGTTTAAAAGAAGTGAGCAGGTGGAAGTCAGAAGTCAGCAAAGGTGTAGTTTATAAACTTTTTATTTTATTTTCACACTAAAAGAGCTGGTCTCTGTAAATGCGGCTTCAAAATGGGAATAAACATGTTTTTCAAAATGGTAAAGCAAGTTACATAATCTATTACCAGTGATCTCGTTCTGGCTAAATGAAGGGGGGAAAGTCTAACCAGATTCTGAAATAGAAAGAAAGATGGCTGAACAAAATAGATTTGTGTTCCAATAAAGCCAGAGCTTTGGGAATTAAATCAACCCTCAGGTAATAACATTTGGGCTCTTGATCAACCCCTTCGACTTGTGTAACCTGTGGTTATCAGGGGTGTTATCTGTTTCTTTGTCTGCACCGGCTCCAGATGACAGGAGGAAGTCTCAGGGAGTCAAAGCCACGCATGTTAAGGTTGAAGATCTTATGTCTGGGAATCAGGAGGATCATTTCCAGTGTTGTCTGATAATACACAACAGGTTTCTCTATTTCCTTGCCTTAGCTCCGATCGGAACCAAACAAGTGAACTCTGGCTGCTTATTGTAGAGTCTCGATTTGCTTTGGAAGGAAAGTTGACAGACTTTCCTGCTAATCAGCATATTAACCAATAAAAGGCAGAGAGTAGGGAATTGAGATTTTGTAAAGTGACGCCAATAACCTTCTATCATTCTAGTGACAGAGCCTCCTCTTAGCACATTTCAGTGTTTTTATTATACGGTAATTAAAATTGTCACATTTATTTGCTGAATTTGACACTGAACAATTTATATATATATATATATATATATATATATATATATATTAAAAAAACAATAAACATGTGATTTGTTTATTTAAGACAACGCTACATAACATTTGATCCAAATACTAGCTTAATTTGAGACATATGCTCTCCTCACACATCCCTTTAACATGTCAGATAGTAAGGAAAAAGAAAATGTATCTTTCTCTTTATGCAGTATATGTAAATATGGTTACTGTATGCTGAATCTATGGAAGATGTTGCCCTAAACATTAATCTGCAGCCCTATTAGAAACTGCCTGCTCTGAGAACAACTAGCTTCAGATTGTTTGACTGTTCAAGGTGTACTGTAGACTCTTGTTTGCTTTATAATTAAAAACATTCAAAGTAACGCTAGACAGATATTGTCTTTTCTTTTCTTTTAGATGTACAAATAAAGGTGACTATTTACAAGCTAGCCTTCGATGTCCTGTTCATTTGATCTGGAACAATGTTGAGTACTAATTAGGTGCAAATGCACTCATTAGCCAAAGCCACTCTGCAGAGACCAATTGTCAATGAATTATTCAAGACCCCTCTCCCATACACGACATCAATACTTGGCTCTGCCTGCTGCCACACTCCTGTGCCTTCTCATCTCCAATTGCATTCTACCACTGTGAAATGAAGAGTGTTTGAATTTATCAGAAGAGCCACTCATAGAATACAAATCATTTGTGTCTTTCAAGTCCAGGTTTGCAGCATTCTGCCTGCTTTTGTTACATTCCTGTCATCTGTAGATTAGTTTTCATTAGCTTCAGCTCAGTAACCCTGCTCCTTTCTCCCATTTTTTCTACAGGATATGGCCATGCAGCCCCCAGCACAGATACGGGGAAGGTATTTTGCATGCTCTACGCCCTCCTAGGCATCCCCCTCACTTTGGTCATGTTCCAGAGTGTTGGTGAGCGGATCAACACCTTTGTCAGATACCTGCTCCACCGCCTAAAGAAGTGCCTTGGAATGAGGCACACTGAAGTCTCCATGGTCAACATGGTGACCATTGGTTTCATATCCTGCATGAGTACACTATGTGTCGGGGCGATGGCCTTCACCCACTTTGAGGAGTGGAGCTTTTTGCATGCGTTCTATTACTGCTTCATCACCCTAACCACCATTGGGTTTGGGGACTATGTGGCATTACAGAATAAGCAAGCCCTGCAAAATAAGCCAGAGTATGTGGCCTTCAGCTTTATCTACATCCTGACAGGCCTGGCGGTGATCGGAGCCTTCCTCAACTTAGCCGTGCTGAGATTCATGACAATGAATGCTGAGGATGAGAAAAGGGACGCTGAGCAGCGGGCTCTTCTTGCCCATAATGGTCAGATGGGTGGTCACATCAACTGCTTTGTAGATCCGGCCTCCCCGTCTTCAACGCCACCTATGTGTGGTGGTGGAAGTGCCGTCGGAGGGAGCAGCGGAGGGACTGCCAGCCGTGGTTTACGCAACGTTTATGCCGAAGTACTCCACTTCCAATCAATGTGCTCCTGTCTTTGGTATAAGAGCAGAGAGAAGCTCCAGTACTCCATTCCAATGATCATCCCACGTGACCTGTCCACATCAGACACCTACATGGAGCAGGGAGAGGCTTTTTCCAACCCTCTTCACTCTAATGGCTGCATGTGCGGCTTGCAGCATCACTCAGGCATCAGCTCTGTATCTACAGGTTTACACAGCATTAATACCTACAGAAGACTGAATAAACGCAGAAGCTCTATCTGAACATTAGGACAACTATGTTTTACAATCTATTTCTTTGTGGCACTATGTGAGGTAGTACAACAACAATTGTAAGGACATGAAGGGAACACAACCCTAGTGTTGAAGAGATTGAATTTTAATAAGCTGGGCTTTGTTTTAGAATTGAAAAATCTGGTGATTTGGACTCCAGATATGGTACTTCCATTTGCAGAGCACATACAGTTTAGTATCAAGATTCACTTTGGAGCCTCAGAAAAATGCAAGTTGTCATTTCAATAGTATTTACTAGACACCCTCTAAAACTGTTGGGCCACTGCAATATCTTCACTCTGAAATGAACAATGTCTAATTGTCAAAAATGTTGATATGTAAGGCCTAATCTAAACAAGAAGGAAAGCACTGTGAGACATTTCTTCAAAGGAGAATCTGAAGTTTGTCTAAGCCTATTTTCTTTTTTCTTTAGTTTTTTTGGGTAAGAACCTCATTTGATGAGTAAAAATAAGATGTATGTATACTATTATGACACTTACACAAAAAAGTTTTTTTCTTTTTTTTCTGTGTGTACATTTCCAAAGGTTAAGTTAAAGCCAAATCTCAGTTCTCCTTCATGAGAAAAGGTTACATGGAATCATTTAGCTCACAAGTTTAGCATTACTGTCCTGTAAGGCTGATTTATACTCAGAAACTAGGTCCTCTGCATGTGTTTCGCAGTAAACGGGAATGTGCCCCCGCCCCTTCTGCAGACATTCTGATGCACCTCTCCAAAATTGTAGGTAACCGCAGACAGGAGGCCTCTGATTGGTTAAATCTACATCTGCTCTACACTATGTGTATTTCCTGTTTTGTACCTTACCTGTATTGTTTGTATGACCAACATTGTAAAAAATGAGTCTTGAAGTTAGACCAGCTAGAAGAGCGAGGTGCGCGAGAACGCTGGGAACCTTTTTCCACTGGATCCTCACTCTTTTTCGCCCTCATGTCGCTCTGTTGTCGCACAAACTTGCCCCCACTTCCTCACCGCCTCGGTCGTATCTAGACCCACAGCTAGTTCACGATTGTCCCTCTTGCATTGTGGTATAGAATAACATAGCGCAGACCACGCTTCAATATTGGGCATAAAACAGAAATATCTACAACAAGCTCACTGCGACACACTGCTTTGTCCACTTGTGAGATTATAACCATGGTTGTCATTACATGTTATTGGAATTAAGTTACATGTAAAAACAAAATAATTGCTTGTAGTTGTGTAGATTCAGGAAAATTACTAATTTCTAAAATTTAAAAAATTGCGCTATGCATTTGTGTTCAGTCACCCTTAGTTAATACTTCCTCCTAAGTGTGAATGGAGATGTAAGTCTTTCAATATATGTCTCTTCTAGTTTTGCACATTAAGAGTCTGAAACCTTTGCACATTATTCTTTGCAAAATATTTCAGGCACAATCTGGTTGGTGGTTAAATATTTCTGAACAGAAATTCTAAAGTCTTGCCACAGAATTACAACTGGATCTGGGTTTAGACTTTGAATGGGCCATTTATACCAATGACCATATTTTGGTCAAAACTATTCCATGGTAGTTCATGGTGTATGTTTAGGATTGTAGTCATGCTAAAACATGATCGCTAAGTCAAGGTCGGTCTTTTACTGCCACTTTTCAGTTTTTTACTACATTTTTTGTATCTTATTCAGCTTCACCTTCAGCTTCACCTTCAGCTTCACCTTCAGAACCAAACAAGGCAACATCCCAGAGTTTACGTCAACTGGGGGCTTCGTTTGGATTTGTCAGTTTTGTGGTAGAAGAATTTTGAGATTTGCAGAGAAAGGAGATGTCGATGGGGTTTGAACTTCTCTGTACGTCCATTTCACCCCTGAACTATCGTCATTCATCTATGACAATGTAAACTCAGTTTTGCATTCGATGTTTAAAAAGGAATCGCAGATGACCAGCCAAGGACCAGCCAAGGGCCCATCAATGAAAGTGGGGAAATTTTGAATGGCTACTACTGTAATAAAGTGAACAGGATAAAGCTTTTTTACACTGTTCAGCTTAAATTTCTCCCCATCTTTATCCATTAGCTCTTTAGTTAATCTCTCAGTCTTCATGTTGTCTAACTAACATCTGGACCACTCAGAAAACCATGCACTTGCATGCACTGCACACAGGTGAGGAGTATTACAGTAGGTGATATCTGAAAGAGGTTAATTGGCCCAAATGTTATCTAGGTAGTGGTATCATATTACAAGGGGCTGAATACAAATGCAAACACACTTTTTAGGCATTGAAAAAATCTTGAAACCAGGTATAACTTTCCTGCCACTTTGCCACTTTACTTAAAATCTCAGTAAAATCGTTCCATTTTGAAATGTTTCCACAAAATTTTAAACAGTAAAGAAAAACATTTGCAAAGCTCTATGGGGATCAGATAAGCAATGGAGTTGCCATTAGTCCTTAGCTTTTTACCTTTTCCACAGGTTTCTAAAATTACTATGATTTTTCAAGGGGGTGTTCTTGTGCATTAACCAAAATCATGTACATATTGCTCATCATTATCATTTGTGTAGCTGGACTATAATCTGAGAGTTTAAATCAGAGTGTGTAACCTCACCTCTGCATTGTAGAAAAATATATCTTACTCACTGCTGCACCTTAGAGAACTGTTGTTTATGCTTTTAGACACTGGGACTCAGTGCACATATTTTCAAATGTCTCCAACTGTGTTTATATTATGTAAATGATAAGACCTAGGTTATTATTACTGTTCAGAGATGTGTGTCTCTGTCTTTTTTTGGCACCTCACAAACAAACAGCCTCAGAGTTTTGCACGTCTTGCACTTAAAGTGGGGGCAGTTCTTCTGCCCTGTCAAACACACTTGACTCAACCAACTGAGGTCTTTTATGCATTGTTCATTTTGTTTCATGGAAGAAATGACCTTCATCTTTATTATGTTTCTGTAGATTATCTTTGTAGTAAGTCATTTTTGTTTGTTTCTTTTTCTACTGGAAAAAACCTGTTAGCATCTGTCAGCAGCTCACTACTTGATGAGAACCGTGTGTGTACATGTACATGTTTTTGTTTTCTTTTGACCATAATAAACTATTATTTAATTTAAAACAGAAAAAATTGTTTGACTTTTGAATACTAAGGTGTTATCTAAATCTTTTGGTTTGAAGTCTTCACTCAGTGAAGTAATGGTCGCTCATAAATCTGCTGCATAGTTGTTTTTTTTTTAAACAGATGTTTCTTTAAGTAACCAGCTCTGTAAACAAAACTTTAGTGGGTATTTAATTATGATGATATTTTAAAAAACAAATGATTTTTTTCTTGTAAAATGTAGAAACCATTTTCTGGTTTTAGACGCTCTTCTCGTGCAGATATCTCTGCTGTTTTAATTATTATGGAAATCCCGAGTGCAAGAGGATTTTCATAAAATAAATTTGTAATTAGTGAGAATGTAACAATAAAGATTTTTTTTTAATCAAGGTATGAAAACAGGTTTTATGTTCTGTTCCTAAGCTAAGTTTATCACTTTACACTCTCAGGCTGCAACATTCGAAACCACTGACGAGGCAAATTAAGAAGAAAGATATTTTTGTAATGTCTTTGTAATGTAATGTTTTGTAATGCTTAGCAGAAAAATGTTGGCATGCTATATTCATGAAGAAAATGATTCTAAAAGTTAGTATAAGTTAAAAAGTAGGAGTCATAAGCTAGTATTTTACAAATGCAATGCTTCTGAAATTGTATTTGAATTAATGTTTAACCAGTTTTAGAAGAAAAAAAAGTAAATAGGGTTCATTAAGACTGACTTCCTATGGGAATTTCCCTTTTATACACACATTCATGTGGATGTAGCTTTTTAAACATTAGCAGTGTGCCATGATTTTGCAACCAATGACGAGTTAAACAATAAAGCATTTTTTTTTCTCTACAGTACTGGACTTAAAGGAATAGTACACCCAAAACATGATTAGCCTTCATTTTCTACTCACCCCCATGCTGAACAACACTCTGGAGTACTTTTTTGTTATCTCAAATGCATCTGGAGATCTGGGAGGCTTCTTGCTGTCTGCTGACATTCAAATAATGGAGGTCCATGGTGCCCGAGACAGAAAGGTCCATAAAAGTCCACAAAAAACGTGTCAATATTCCTCCATACTGCTCGTCCAATGTATTCCAAGTGTCCTGAGTGGGTAGCATCCAGAATTTACTCGAAACGAAGTCATTTAGAATGTTTTTAGAGCATAAACAGTAGTGTATAGGATTTCCTGAAAGCGCGCACATGCGCGTTCACGACGCTACATGGGATCATGTAATTCTTTATGTACATTATTTTCATTTTATAGTGTCTTTTGACATCTTGATTCGCTGAGTTCGGTTTACTTTTTTTTTTCCAGTCAAATGGCAACGCATCATATGTACACATAACCACAATCAGTAAAGATGACAAAAAGGGCTGAAGCGGAAAGCCCATATGCTCAACTGTAAATTTGCAGTATTTAACAAATGTTAATTTAACGTTTTGTAATGTTTTGACTGATTGATTGACTTTATTGATCTCACAGTGGAGAAATGTACTCGTCACATCTGCTCAAATAGAAAAATAAGGTGCCAAAGGAAGAAAGGTGCATGGGTTATATACAGTATTAACATCACGTCCACATAAATATATATATATGTATATATACATATACATATATATATACCAAAATGATTGACAATAAGGAGTACCACTTATTTTGATGATCCACCTGGGAAAAGAAGATCCTCCACTATACCTTTAATACATGTGCCCACAATTTACCATTGAAAATGTCACTGTTCCTTTGGAAAATGACTAAAATATATGTTTGCAAATGACTGTATCTTCAAACAATATTTTGAATCAAAGATGTTAATCTACTTTTCAGTTAACTTTTTATATTAAATTTGATATATTTTCTTCCTATATTAGAGCTTTCAATGATAATTTATAGTAAGAAAAGGCATTGATCTTTATTCCATCATTAACTTCAATATTGTTCTTATTTCTTATATCAGGTGCGTCTTTTATCCAAGTACTTCTGGGGGCTTAGCGGTAGCCTCAGAGAACATGAGCAGTTTTATTTTTGTTTGCTTGTTTTCATCCCAGATGCATTGAGCTGTCAAGCTGATTAATGTAGAATATCAAATGGAACAATGAGCACAGAACCTGCAATGACCACTCCTCTACAACACTAGCAGAACAAACAGTAGAAAACAACTTGAAGAATCCATAGCTCAGCGGGTTTTAGGACACAAATGACAACTGACAGGCTGCAGTTCTGTATGCTTCAATGGCCAAGCATTACAAAATGAGCGGAGGAAATAGAAATCAGTCTGCAGTGATGCTTCTGCTTGTGATGTGTGAACACCACAGAGGGTTAATGACCTGCTGCCGGTTCTCCAGCTGAGACACAATGAACCTTCTCAGCGGTGACTGATGGGAAGAAGTAACCTTAGGCCAAATCGATGATGACCAAACGTTTTTCAGTTTAATTGGACAAAAGATGGAGGACATAAAACCCTCTGTTCTGAACAGAGCAATACATCACACTCAAATAGTCATTTCTATGAGCCCTTTATTAGTCCGACCAAGATCATGTTCACATCTCTTGTTAAAGCGGAAAATATCTGTGACTCTGACTAACCAGCACTCTGTCAAATACACTATTGATTTTGTGAGAAATAAGACTGTTTAAACCTTCAACATTTTATGAAATGTAACCATTTATAAAAGCCTTTCACATTTTCCCCTCAGTCCCTCCAATAGACATGATTCAAGCATTCTCATTCCACACTTCCTTCCTTTCTTCTTTGCGTGCTATTCACTTAATTTTTCTCCTTAGATTAGCAACTTGTTGAACTAACACTTTTTTCTCCTCTTAATAATCTTTCGATGAGTCCCTTTCAGGGTTAGTAGAGCATACCCACAGTATTAATGAAGGTATGCTGGCTGATGGTTAAGAATAGAGTTTCCTCGCCTTTGATTGTCCAGTACTCCCTTCCTCTCACATCTCAGTTTTATTGCTTAAGCGAGCTTAAATTTTGAAAAGAAACACGAAAGCGGATTTTATCTAACAGGTCCTTCATCTTGAGAGTGGAGATTCCCATTAATTTCCTTTTTTTTTTGCTAGTAATCACATGAAGAGGAAATGTCTTTTTAAGTATTGAAAACCATCTGTTCTGAAGAAGGCAGCAGGATGCTGCATATTAGTAGCTGACATGTCAAAATTACTGTTTAACATTCAATTTTCTGGGTGGGAAATGTTTTGTTTGATGTTTGTATGATACCTACTGTGAACTAATTATGCATTTAAATGCCCTTTTATAAACACAGAATGACAGGGGGCTAATGCCTGTCTCCTGTGGTCGCTTTCCAAAAGGCGGGATGCAGCCTGGACACATTCCCACTCTATTAGAGGGCAACACAGAGACAAACAAGACATGTACCCATGCATGCATGCAGTCTCACCTGAGGGCAATAAAGAGAGAGTGATATGCATGTTTTTGAATTGTGTGGGTAGGTCAGAGAGGGTATGCAAAGGGAGAAAAGGGTTTTGGTGTAGCATATCAAAAGAACAATGGTTCCCTTTTCTTCTGTATTTTAACACTTTTACTCAAACTTTTCCTTTAGCTGCAATATAATTTCCAAGCATGGGATGAACTCCTGTGTGGATTTACTCCTGC